GTGCGTTTGTTTGTAATACCTTGTGGGGATGATTTTCCTGACATATACTACGTTGTTGGGAGGAAGCACAGCAGGTTACAGCAGCTGCTCCTAATGTCACCTTCTGAGCAAAGGCCAACTTCTTCTGCTGGCCAGAGCGTCACTGGTGTATGTGGCAATAAGCGCCTTCTGCTGTTGAAACTCATTCACTTTTAACTGTAATAGATTCTGACTGTAGTTTCTCACTGTAATGCACTGCTTTTCAATTCCAGTCCTCACTGCCCCTCTGCTCTGCATGTTTTAGATGTGCCTCTATTCCAAAACAGTTGATTCAAATGATTGCAGGACCATCAAGTACTGCAGAGGGCTATTAATCACCAAAATATTGAATCCAGCTGTGTGACAGAAAGGAAACACCTAAAACATGCAGGGCAGGGGGGTGGTGAGGACCGAAATTGTGAAACACTGCTGTAAGGTAAGGTCATTTTATTTATTTAGCACATTTTCAGCAACAAGGCAATTTCAAAGTGCTTTACACTGTAAGTTACCTTGGATATAAAAATAAAATGGGGGGCTACTATTTTGATTCATTTCACTTTTATAGTGCCACACTCTACCCCGCAAAATTAAAAGTCCCCTGACATTTCTGGTGTCTTAGTGCATTTAACCATAGCTTTAACACACAGCCACAGCCCATGGTCTCCCTCTGAACCAAAGTCGGCTAACATAAAGTGTCATAACTCAGTACAAACGGTTTTTTGACTTTGTCTTTGGGGTCACTGTCTCACAGAGTCAGCCTCACCTTTGTTTCCAGCTGAAATGTCAATCACTGTCTCACCACTCTTTGATATTTCAAGGTCAATGTCAGGGCGTTGAATCTGTTTGGCCAAATCCTCTTTGCTCTTTAATGGCAAAACATGAAGACTTGATTCAGGCTGGAACGGCTCCACCAAAGGGTCAAGTTGAGTCTGCCTCTGTCTCCTCAGGACAGGCCTGAGGTACCACTGGTACATGCTGCTGTAGTCATCATGTGATTCGTCACCATTTCCTGGCTGTGTACTTGGACGTCTCAGCTTTTTCTTTGCAACAGCTGGAGAAAGTTTATTAGAGCTTACCAGTCTGTCCTGGGGCCTTTTCAAGGGGTAGGAAGTCACAGGGCAGTAGGAGATTTCGGTGCACCACCTTATCTCTCCCCTGACCAGTTTCAGGGCAGATCCAATACAGTCATCTTTGAACTATAGTCTTTTCCCCACCATATACATTTTGAAACACACATTCAGAAGCGCATTACCACTAACAGTTTAGAATAATAATATTCTTTATTATTCTAGATTACCATATTTATAGGTCAAGTCTAAAGTATCAAGTCTTATCATCTCATTTCTGGTAACAGTATGGTAATAATTAATCAGTAATAATAATCTCTATTCCTTTTTAAGTCTCCAACAGCAGAGTGGACCTCCAGAGACACTGAGGATGGAAATGAAAATGTTTCTTCCGTTGCTGCTGCTAGTCTGCTCTGTCTCTACAGCTGAGCTGCAAGCTCAGTCTGACAATGACATTCTGTCACATAAAAGGCAAAGTGACGGACAAGTGGGAGAAACAGAGCGTCTGACTGAGCAGCAGACCTTCACACAGGACATCAATGCTGTTCTGAGAGAGATGAGCGCCTGGGTGGCTGCACTGAAGGTGGAGGTGCAGCAACTACAGAGAGACAATGAAGGTATGTTTACAGAGTTACAGTGTTTGAATCAACTGATCCTTATTG